AATTTTTCTTAAAAAGTAGACAAGCGATTGGAGAAACACCCCTCAGATGTGACAAGGGTGCTGATGTTGCATAGTTTGTCCACCAGAGGGCACTCTGATCTGACCAGAGCATAAACAAGTATTCCACGACTGCTTGTGACAGTAAAACAAGTTCAGTTTTAAAATACAATGCGATATTATCTTGTTACAGACAGATAAATAACCACAATAACAAAGCTTAGTGAAATCTGTTTATGTTCCATGTGTCTGAAAAAATATATATATCAGCTGATACACCAGATTTGTAAATGTACAAATTTCAATACTAGTATCAATATTAAAACTTCTATATTGGTCGGGCTGTAGTTATTATTATAATTTGGAAAGGTATAAATGAGAATGTAGTCCAGGTGCCTTATATGAATACCAAACACATAAATAGGATGGTGTTTAGCATTAGATTTAATAGCAAAATTCATAAAAGATAGCGACATGGATGACACAAAATAAGGAACTTTTGTTTAGAAACAAACAGGGTGAAACCAAAAGAACAGCAAAGGCAAGAAAGTCCAAAAAGTACAAGAGAAAAACAGTCAAAAACTCCACAATGAGAAACTAGTAAATGGGAAACGTGAGGATATAACTTCAGGGACCATATACAGAGTCAATACTCAATAGCAGGAAGATAAGAGGAAAATAACAATAGAAGTTACAATGAAGACAAATGTTGATAGCTTTTAAACTAAAATATGAATCAAACTGAAACTCAGACAGATAAACCAGAATATCTGAAAGGAGAACCTTCAGGAACAAGACAAAGTCATGCAGTGTTTCTGTGATGTGCTTAGCTCCAACAGTTCTACGGGACGTGAAGCCAGAGGCAAAGGTAATGCAGGAGGAGATTTTTGGACCTCTACTTCCTATCTTACCAGTCAGCAGCCTGGACGAAGCCATCAAGCTGATCAATAAGGGAGAGAAACCTCTGGCTCTCTATGTGTTCTCACCAGATAACAAGGTATCTACCAGCAGCCAACACAGCAAAGCAGTTAACACGTGGAAACCAGTGTTTAGGTTGAGACTTATTGTCAGTTTTGTTTTCTCTTCTCTGTAAAGGTGATAGAGAGAATGAGAGATGAGACTTCGAGTGGAGGATTCCTGGCCAACGACTGCCTCGTGCACTATTCTGTCAGCGCGTTGCCATTTGGAGGAGTGGGTAAGTAGAGAAACTGTGCAATCGGAGTCTTTTTTTTTTAACCCCTTAGTGACTTTACTGTCTGTATTACTGGTTTATTGTGTTGATTAAAAGTGGTCAAACCTGATGCCAACATCTGTGTATGTTCCATGTGCAGGAAACAGTGGAATAGGCTGCTACCACGGCAAGTTCAGCTTTGACCGACTGAGCCACCTGCGTGGTTGTCTGGTCAAAAAGCTGAAAATGGAGGGGGTGAACGACATGCGCTACCCGCCGCACACATTGAAGAAACTGGGCTGGGCGCGCTTCTTCATCCTCAATACCGTAGATGTGGGCTGGGTGGGACGGATGGCGCTCCTAGCTGCTCTGGTTATGGTGGCTGCTGTTGTGATTCAGGTGAGTTGAAAAGAAAGAAAGGAATAACTGACACGGGCAGTATCAGTGGACGAGCTTCCCAGCTAGCTGCAATGTTCTAAGAGGAGCAGAGAAACCTAAACCTTTCTGTAGTTGAACACATCCTTTGAGTGTCACACAGTGCACATGTGCATTACTGAGTGGGACAAAAAAGAGCGATCGCATTACTCCAGTGTTGGCAGACTTGCACCTGCTCTCTGCGCATCACAGAATCCAGCATGAAGTGCGCTATTGTATTTAAAGCTTTAAATGGCCTTGCACCTGCGTTTGCGGTAGAGACTTATGCTGTATCCATACTCTCTCTCAACATCATTAACCCTGTAAATCCTGAACTATGCAATGACTGCCGGACGATTGTAATTTTTTTTGAAACTGTTTTTTTTTTTTTCACAGTTTCAAAAAAAGGTTTTTGGAAAAAAAGTGTTTATTGAACCTTCTGACAATTAAAAAAAAAGCAAACATTAATTTCCATATATGAGTTTTAATTTGTAATATTTGTCTCGCAGTAGCACTCCATGTGTCTGATTGCATACATCAGATTTTTCAGCCTTACAGGGTTAAGGTCTACTTCCTAATCACTCTAGAGTCCAGACCATCGCAGAGTCAAAGCTAATTTGCTTGCACCAAGACGCTGGAATGATCTTCCAAGTGACTTCACAAATGCGTCACCTACCTCTGTCTTTAACTCTTAGCTAAAGACATCATGCTTTTTGTAATTTTATGTAATTAATGTAAATGCGTGTACCATGAATTTGTATCTTTTATTTTTGTTTCTTATTGTAAATCACTTTTCTAAACATGCTACAGTATAGAAATATAAAGCATTTCCAGTCATGCTGCACAATGGGAGCTGAACCATCCAAGTGACACCAAGTCCCCACATCCACAAGTATTTTTTTAAGCTCAACTTTGGTCTTTCCATCTACATTCAAAGGCCTAATGAAAAGCTCCTTCTGGGTGAAGACAGATTTAGGGTTAAGGGTTACATAACCACCAGCTGGCTTGTCATACTATAGGCATGCCCAGTTTTGTTTCAGTGCTTTCAAGCAGATTTAATTTATTCCGGTTTTGAGCTGTTTAGTGCTCGGTCCTGTGGAAGTGGTGGCGGTTCAGCCTTTTTTTCCTCCAAAAGTTCAAAGATTAATCAGTGATTCTGAGGCAGATTTGATGATAAATGGTCGTCTGTGATCGATTGGCAAGCTGTCCATATACAGGCAGCGAATCCACGACGCACATGAAAACAGAGTTGAATGATCCAAAACTACACAGGCCAATAAACAGAACAACGCAACAATGACAAAACTTTCTTGTATCTGAAAAAAAAAACCATTCCCAACTCACTCATTAACAGCTACACAGTTGTAAGTAAACAACCCGGGGCTCTTTGGTTCAGTAAACAATGCTATCCAGTGAATGTGGCAGATACAGCCTGGCACACACACAGATCTGGATGTGGAAAGGGTCAAATGGCAACAAAGATGCAGAATGTTTTTCTTTCTTCTTCTTCTTCTTTTTTTGGTTCACAATGCAAATACTTCACAGTATTTCTGTATTTTTTTTATTCAGTATTCACATATATAAATGTTAAATGTGTGACATTTATTTTTTTTGCACTGTGGCATTTTTCTGTTCTGTTCTGTATACTCCTTTTTACGGTGGCCCTGAGAGGCCAAATGGACTGCAACTTAAGAAAACACCAGCAATAAGAAAAACGCTGCAAAAGCACATAAAACACAACGGAAATAGGAAAAAAAAACAAATAGGAAAAAACGATTTCCAAAAGCACAAGGGAAGTGTTTCTGGGGAGACAATAACCCGACGGACCAGTTGAGGAACCAAAATATGCTAAGAATTGCGCTGGGAGACATTAAAAGAAGTGGAGGATCTATGGTTTTGTGAGGAAAGAAAAGATGAGAGGTAAGTGTGTTAGCCTAACTATTAGCCTAAAAATCCGTCATCAGTATTATATGAATCATGATAAAACACACCTACCATGTTTTGGGTTCCTGCAACTGGTCCGTCGGGTTATTGTCTCCCCAGAAACACTTCCCTTGTGCTTTAGGAAATCTGTTTTTTCCTATTTCTGTTTCTGTTTTTCCTTCATTGTGTTTTGTGTGCTTTTGCAGCGTTTTTCTTATTGCTAGTGTTTTCTTAAGTTGCAATCCGTTTGGCCTCTCAGGGCCACCGTACCTTTTGTCCTCTACAGTCTGCAGACTAGTTTTTACCCAACCTTCCTACTGAGTAACAACACAGGATTCAAATAGAAATAGAAGCACTATTTCAAATAGAAATATTGTTAAAACACTTGCTTTCAGCTGCGTCACAGCTTACCTCTGAGACACCCATCAGTCATTTTAAAAGCATTATGAATGCAGAGCAAATGTTTAGAAAAACCTCCAGCTGAGTCTTCTGTTTGTGTCTTTGGTTTTACAGAAGTACCTCCTCTGAAGCCGTTCTGCTGTTTCCTTTGTCGTCTGGGCCGCAGAAGAGGAACAAGGAGGATTCATTTGTTTATGCATGAACAAGATAGCAATGTTGTGTTGTTTCAGGATTGCCGTTTTCCATTTCACATTTCAGTGAAGTTTCATGGAGCTCACTGAGAGCCGTTTATTTTAATGAAGATAATTATTTATTCTCATCTATGCAAGAATCACTACGTTCCATTAATTCATCACCACATTTTTAATACTTTTTTAAAAAAAATATTAATGATTTAGTTTTTTTTTTTTTTTTATGAAGTAATAGTGTAAGTGTAGAGGTATTGCATGATTCAAAGTATGATGTCCATTTATTCTACCTTGCATTTAAAAAACAAAACATGTTTACATGAAGGGCCATGAGATGAAGTTCATGTTAATAATGAAAAATGATTTTTTTCATCATTATTATTATTATTATGTAGGAGCTACCTACAGGGTATTTTTAGCTTGTTGTTTCAGTAATGGATCCGCCATTAATCTGACAATCAGCCCGAATGCACTTGATTTCAGCCCAGAGTAGTTTCAGGCTGTGTTTGGCAGGCATGAAGACAATCTGTCCAGTCTGTGAGATTTCAGTGTTTGTTTTCAGCTCATCCGAATCACGCAGGTTCATGTGAAGGAAGTTTTAAATGATTTTTTTTATGACCAAATGTAAAACATTTAAGTGACCAAGTGTAGTTGTTTCTAAATATTTGCCTATATCGCACCATTTAAATTTATAAACAACAATTAAAGAAATATATATGCATTTCTATTTTAATATTCAACTAAATAAATTGCTACATGTATCAGTTTGAAATTTAAGTTATTTTTATTCTGTATTTTACAAGCGTATGTTGCATAATACAGAGTTGATATTCATCAGCTCTCCTCTGTGAGTTAGAAATAGATTCACAGTTCAGTCTCATACGTTGTTAAATTAACTGTTAAAGGTCATGAAAAACATTTTTACATAAGTGGGTCAAGAACTTATGAAGAGTGTTGCTTAAAGTCAAATTTCAATGACTTTGGATTTTATCATCTGCAGTGATAAAATCTCCATGAATGGTAACATTTAAAAGATTCAGAAAATTCAGAGTTCAGTTCTCGTGATCTTTGGGACCAGAAACCACACCCAACCTTCGCTGGTGCACAAAAGCTTGTTCTGACACAGAAAACTGGAAACCTCTTCTGATGTTAATGATGCTGCACTGCTAACTTCCATAGACACTAACACTAACCGGACACACAAGCACACAATTTAGGAAAAATGCTGCCAATTTTAAATAAAAGAAAATAGCAAAGCAAAAGCTCCAGGCTTAATTTTAAAGTTTTTCCAAATAAACGCATCCACTTTATTATGTGCACTAATGTATTATAGAAAATGGAAATCAGATGTAAATAATGACATTTTGTCCGGTGAGTTAAAATACTTTCTTGTTCCTCCTGGTTTTTCTGCTGTATCAAGTCAAAAATAAAAAACGAGGAACAGCTGAAATCATTTTGTACATTTTGCCACCAGGTGTCTTCCTCTCTCGTTTTACACAACTTAAAATTAGGAACGTTTGCACCAAGACCCCCCCTCCTGTTTAGAATAACTTCCACACACACACACAAACACACAATAATCACCTCCCTCCCACCTTCAAAGGTGGCTGAGTTGGTGTGTGAAGACAGCTGAAATTTAGTCTATGAGGAGCTTCGCCTGACTTCATCATGGGTTTTTCTCTCTACCTCCTGACTCTGCATCTTCTCCTTTCCCGCTGCACAGGTAGGGGACTCACACATAATATACACAGTATAACTGCATTTAAGCTAAATGCAGGAACTATGATGGGCTTCAGTTTTCTGCACCTATTTTTTTAGTCTGAACTTGTTCTTGTTTAAGTCAAAAGGGTGGATATGACGATAAAACATCTGCAGCCACACTTGATTAAACATGCTGTAATTTGTGGGAAGTGCAAGTGCCATGAGATTATTAAGAATCAAAGCAGCAACACAACTATCTACAACATATTTTGAATTTTCTTGCTACTTCTTCATGAATGTTTAAATATTAACTGGAAAGATCACGAGCTGAACTGCAAACAGCAATGATTTTTATTACTAATTAATAGGCTCATTAGTTTTTCTATATGATTAAATGACAAAGCCCTGCAAATCATAGTGGAAAAAAGTGAATTAGAGGCAACATCAGATGCCTTTTTCTGTTGAAACAAAGTCCATGACTCAAAAACAGTTCGTCTAGATCATGAAAGCAGTGGAAAAGCAACCAATTCTCCCATTTGGGGATGTGCAAATCTCGCATCTGTGAGTTTTTCATTTTCCTAAAGTTTACGTAAAAAATTAATTGATTTTGAAAGTTTGCCGGGAAGCAGGTGTTTTGGCTTGCAGTTCACAAGAGTCACAAGAATGGAGCCATAAAAGTCAACAAACCAGTGTCTGCTTTGCAGCAATATCTTTCTCCAGTTTAAGAACACCTGCCACAAAAAACTCATCGCTACCAACCAGAACAAGTTGCAGAAGAACCTTTAAGTGTCCTGAGCTATAATCCTATGAAAAGAACATTTCCACAGGTCCTAAGAACAACATTTTAATTTAAAGCAACCGTTTTCTTTATAGTTTTATCAGTCTCTCACATCACTGTGGAGGAACTTTGGGCCGTTCTTATAGCTTGAACTGAACATAGCTTCAGGTTTGTGGTCCTGCTGCATCTTTTCAATCAGTTCCTGTCGACGAATTCACTACAAGGTGCCAAGTTCTGTGGCTCCAAATCAATCACTTATCATCACCACCTCGCCTGAAGCTGGTATTAGGTGTTTCTGTTTCTGCCAAACATGGCCAAATATCTCCACTGCGGTCTCCTCTGTCTAAAGGACATTGCTTCAGATGTCTTGTGGTTTCTGGTTACTGTAATGAACTTTAACATTTAGCCGAGGCCTGGAGTCTGAGATGTAGCGCTTGGATGTTTTTGCAGTTTCTCTGAGCGCTGCACAGTCTGACATATAAAATTTGCCGGGACTTCCACTCCTGGAAAGATTGTGACATCGTGTTAACAAACACCCGAGTGCTCCAGATCAGCAAACTGCCAAAACATCTGCTTTTACACAGGTGCTCACTCTATATTAAGTGCAACCGATCAGCAGCACCTGCTGTTACTTACCTTCTTAATTTCTGTCAATGCAGTAAGAGTTTAATTATTTTCTCACAGGGATTCACGTTGTCATGTGTAAGCTCCAAGTTTAGGCTGCATGGAGCCACTCTGAAAGCTCAGATGGTGAACTGTAGAAGATATTGTCAGTGTAAGGAAAGTAAAACTGGGAATTTAGCGAGGTAATCACTGCACAGACTTCACTCTGACTTTTCCCTGCTGCTCAGTCTCACACAGGTGAATGAACCAGGTGGTGTAAAGCCAGCCTCCAGCTGTGTATTGTTCTCAGTTGGTGAGAACCACTGTCCCCTTTTCAAAGGACGGCATTGTAGGAGTCAGCAGGGCTAATCTGTGTTCCTATATTAGCTAAATGGTTCTCTATAGCGGCTTTCATTCCCACTGCAGAGTCAAACACCGGACTTTCATTCACATCAGAAACACAATACACAACCACGGCACAACTCTAATAACGTCATCAGCACCTGCTGAATGAACACGCTTAATGCAGCGGTGCAGAGGCAGTTAAGGAGTCGGATAAAGCCACTTTGCACTGAAAGCAATCAGTGTAATAACAACCAGCTGACCTGGGTGATTAAAATCCGCCTGCATCTCTTCCACTCACTGTCACACACAGACGCATTTTCCAACATTTAAACTGAGTAAAACATGTTTGAAAACTAAATGTAAGCTGCTAATTTATTTTATTGTAAGACCTTCGGTCAATATATTTTTATACTACTCTCTTGTTCTGGCACAGCTTTTGTTGTTCTTGTAAACAAAGGAAGTAAGTGTGGGGGTTTATGAATTTGACTGAACACATTTTTGGATGTATTTTTCACTTTTTGCAGAGGTAGGTTTTGTGCAACTTTTCCAAAGTGCACTGAGCTCAGCAGTCAGACTAAATTTGCAGGGAGGCAGGGTGATTCATTGTAATAAATCAATAAATCGTAAGGATCAGTCATTTGTAATCACACATCATGTTACTACATTCTGTCTGTGCTTTATCAGATAACATATTAATGGACACAGCATATTTTTAACACGCTGAGCCCATGTGTCATGTGAAGACTAATAAAGTTCAGGTGCAGAGGACAAACACATGAGCAGATCAGCTAGTTGCTGACTAAGAAAAAATCTAAACGCTGTGACTAATAGAGCATGAACTTAATTAATATTCATTTATTAACTGCAGGGAGACTGTTGGCCTGGCACAGCGCAGCACCATCCCGAACATAAATATAAGTGCTGTGTACACTGCAGGTTATGTGTGTCTGTTTGTGTGTGTTTCTGGGTCTAATCTGAGTGTTTTACTTTTTCTCCAGCTAACTGGTGTTATCAAAACCAGAATGCCTGTGATGATCCATGCAGAGGTAAGAAAATCCAAAAAGTGTCAAAGATCCTGCAAGTCAAGGATGTAAATCACAGCGATATGAACATTTCTTTAACCATTTATTTTATTATTGGGCTTAACCACAGAGGTTCTCACTGGCCTCCAAAAATCTGTTTGGTTAAACGTCATCAGTTTCAGAATAAAGTTATTGCATTTAACTTAAACTAAAACTAGATGTGAAAAATATAAAAACTAAATGGACTGATTCATATAGAGCACTTTTCTACTCTCTCAGAGTACTTAAAGCGCTCTATACAACATGCCACATTCACTTTCTCTAAACTTATTGCTGTCTAACCACATTCATATTCCGATGGATGCATCGGAGATCAATTTGGGGTTAGTATCTTGCCCAAGGATATTTGGCATGGAGGAGCCAGGGATCGAACCACCAACCTTCTGATCAGTAGGTGATCTACCTGCTCTACCTCCTGAGCTACAGCCACCGTGAAACACTGGACTTTTGAAAAATGAAAAAGATTTTCTGAACTTGGAAAACAATAGTTAAATGAATCAAGAATGACTCAGAGATCAAACCTTCACCAATGCAGCTCACTTTCTGAGCAGTATTTACTTTTAAAGGAATAGTCATTTATTTTATATATAAACATTTTGTTTTCTTTGTGGTTTAAGACATTTGTAGTGCAAAAACAGGTGGAGGTCCTGTTATTTGTCCTGTTGAAACCCAGTTTAATATATTTGACATAATTCTGAGTATAGTTAATTTGAGTGTTTATTTATGTGGCTATAATACACATGTGGCATTCATTCAAGTTTTGAAACACAAATTTATGTTATCTTCCAAATAAAATATTACTTATTTAGAAACATTGCACATGTATTAAAATAGTTTTAACTGTAACAACCTGTTAGTGTACTATACACAAAGTCACAAACTACACTCAAAGCGTATCCCATGCCAAAAAGTTATTGTCATAGTTTCTAAGTTAGGAGTTATTTTGTTAGTTTTCCACCAACAAATCATTGAAGGTGTTTATTATTAAGGGGAAAAAATCCAAACCTATGTGAAAAATCAATTGCCCCCTAAGCCTAATAAGTGGTTGGAAGAACCTGAGCAGCAGCAGCTGCAGTCAAGAGTTTGCAATAACTGGCAATGAGTCTTTTACACCACTGTGGAGGAATTTTGCAGAATTGCTGTAATTCAGCCACATTGGAGGGTTTTCGGACATAAACCACCTTTTTAAGGTCGTACCACAGCATCTCAGTTGGATTCAGGTCAGAACTTTGACTAGGCCACTCTAAAGTCTTCCATTTGTTTTTCTTAAGCCATTCAGAGGTGGACTTGCTTTCGTGTTTTGGATCATTGTCCTGCTGCAGAACCCAAGTGTGCTTCAGCTTGAGGTCATGGACAGATGGCCGGACATTCTCCTTCATGATTTGATAGACAGCAGAATTCATGGTTCATGGTTCATGGCAGCAAAACAGCCCCAGACCATTACACTACCATAATATTTTACTGTTGGTATGATGTTCCTTTTCTGAAATGCTGTGTTACTTCTACGTCAAAAGTACTGGGATACACACGTTCCAAAAAGTTCAACTTTTGTCTCGTCAGTCCACATTTTCCCAAATGTCAAGGGGATCGAAAAAATGTTTTTTACCCAATGTGAGATGAGGTTTTGTGTTCTTCATGGTCAGCAGTGGTCTTCTCGAACTCTCCCGTGGATTCCATTTCTGCCCAGTCTCTTTCTTATTGTTGAATCATGAACTCTGACCTTAACTGAGGCAGTGAAGCCTGCAGTCCTTTAAAGTTTTCTGGGCTCTTTTGTGCCCTCTTGGAGTAATTTTGGTCAGCTGGCCATTCGTGGGAAGGTTCACCATTGTTCCAAGTCTTCTCCTCTTGTGCATAATGACTCTTCATCAGAGTCCCAAAGTCTTAGAAATGGCCTTTTAACCCTTGATAGATGTCAGTGACTTTGTTTCTCAGGTGTTTCTTTAGATCGTGACAGGATGTGTTGCTTTTTAAGATCTTTTACATGTGGTTTGTCACATTTAATTTGTGATTTAACAAGAGGGGCAATTACTTTTTCACACAGGACCAGGTAGGTTTAGGTTAGTTCACCCTTTCTCCCTCAATCAATAAAATCATAATCTAAAAAGTGCATTTTGTATTTACTCGCGTTATCTTTGTCTTATATTAAAATTTCTTTGATCATCTGAAACATGTAAGTGTGACAAATATGCAAAACACTAGGAAATAATAAAGGGGGCAAACACTTTTTTAAAACACTTTTCCTTAAATATAATAACATTTTTTAAAAAAAGACTAAAACTAAAAACTGAAACTATTAACAAACTAAACTAAAACTAAACATCTTCAGACAAACTGAAACAAGGATACCCACATTGGAGACCAGCTAAAACTAAACTGCAAAATAAAAAGTAAAAATTAAATAAAAATACAAAATTATAATAAAATTGCTACCAGTGTCCTGAAAGTGTCAAAAAAAAACACACTATCAGATCACTATCAAAAACCAAATTAATATAGTAATATATTAAGTAATATAGTTGAAGACTAAAAACATGAAGGTGCCCATGAGAATCTTAATGCATCAGTTTGATGGTAATTCAAACAGTCAATTTCATCTTAAAGTTTCTTAATGTAACGAGAGATCTAAACCAAGATAATAAAAAAAACAAGATTCAGCTGTTAGTAAGTGCCACAGGACACAGGTGCAGTTTCTTGTGTTTGTGAGAAGCAAAACCAAAGTAGCAAAATGAAAGCAGAAGAAAGTGATGTTCATTCTCATTGAGATCTACAGCACCAGCAAATATTCGTCATTCATGAGGTGAATTGGCTGAGCACTATTCATTTTGTTGTTGCTTTATAAATTGAGTCTGACCTGCAGGCCTTTGCTGTGTGTCCTCTCCTGCCCCCTTCCTGTCTACTCTTCGCTGTTCAGCTGATGAACAAAGGCAAAAAAGCCCCAAAATAAGTCTTTAAAAAATACAATAAGTAAGCGTTTACGTAAATAGGCAGGCATCCTGTCTTTTCAGCCAGCATGGGTGGGGGAGGCAGTCTTCATGGACTCTCTGAGAGGCAGCACTCTGTATGGTCAGTGAAGCCTAAAATCTGATGATGCTGTTGCTTTTCCTGTTTGTGTCGCTTAGACCCCAACCACTGGGCTACTCAATTCCCAAAATGTGGAGGGTTACGCCAGTCACCGATTAACATCGTGACCAGCAAAGTCCACATCGACATCGCCCTGTCACCTTTCAACTTCATTGGCCACACCGACACAATCAACATGACAGTGGAAAACAAAGGGCACTCTGGTAATGAAGAGCCGATCTTATCCAGTCTGGCACACAGAGCGTGTTTTTTCCCTTAACGACCAAATATTTTCAACATGTTTACATAAAAAATAACTGTTAAAGTAACATAATACCTTTGCTCAGTGACAATCTCTCGCCCCTGCAGCCCACTTTGCTTTGCCGCCGTCTGTTCGATTCATTGGGGGAGCTCTGCCAGGTCACTACAGAGCCGCCCAATTTCACCTCCACTGGGGAGGGAATGGGAGACCAGGATCAGAGCACACCATTGATGGAGAGAGATTCCCCATGGAGGTAAAGGAGTCATCATTAAAGTTATAAAAGATTTGAGTAGAGGTCAATAATTTTGTTGGCACATGGATTTGGTTTTCTGACATCAAAAATGTTCAAGCATGGCAGTTATGTTAGTGTGAATAATTTCATGTTTTATTCCCTTATTATTCCCTTTTATTTACCTTAAATCTCAGTAAGGCTAACAGATACACCGCAATGACACAGGAGGGTCATTAATAACATTTTATTAATATTGTTATATCCATTGTTGAAAAAATTATGTGACTGATCTGATCTCTGAAAGCAGAAAGGGCCCTTGATGCAGTACAGTACTCTTTTCTTTATACAGATGCACATAGTCCACATTAAGGAGCCGTACAGCTCTCTGGCGGAGGCCGAACATGACACAGCAGGTATAGCTCTGCTCGCCTTCCTGTTTGAGGTAATGCACTGTGATGTTTTCACCTTCTTCATAAAATGTTAAGACGTGACTTGCGGCATAGTATTGATGGTATCTTTCCAGGAAACAGCGGATGATCATCCTCATTTGGACACAGTAATAGATGCGCTGGGCCGCGTACAAAACAACGGTATGTATGCTGTTAATTTGCAGCTCTTTGGTTGGAAGAAACTGATTTCTGTGGATAGGTGTGCTTTATACATATAACCAGTTGAGGAGTATCTGCAATTAATCGATTGATTGTAATCTATCTTCCCATCTGTGATTTGCAGGAGATCAAATACTTAAATTCAAGTCAGTTTATTGCTTTCATGTAATAATTTTTTTCAGGATTTTTGGTGGATAATCTGTTTCTCTCCATTAAAATAAAGTGAGGAGTTGATCCAGATTGGGATCAAATAATTGTTTCCCACATCAGGGCACAATAAGCTTTATTCAGTCCTGACTTTGCTTCTTTCTTTGTCACATGAAGGCAGCACCACAGTGATCCCAAACTTTAGACTCGGTGACATTATCCCAGCTGCAAAGGACCTACAAGGTTACTACCGCTACGTGGGCTCCATGACAACGCCGGGATGTGAGCAGGCAGTTGCCTGGACAGTGTTTCACAGGAAGCTGGCCATCAGTAGTCGACAGGTAAGCAAGAATAAATAAGTGAAAGAGATAAAAGGCTCACAGTAGAGAAACTAGTGCTTTTGGTTGCATTTCATCCATAAACCTGTGAACCCCCAAACTGACATTTCTTTACTCTTTCACAATGTAAACAAAAACAGCATATTTGAAGAAGTTATGGAGATGTGATATTAAAATGCAAAATAAAACTATTAAAACTACAAAAGTAGAAAATGCCTGGGGGAAGAAAAAAACTTTTCAGAAACACTTTGCATTTAAGAGGTCAAGACCTAGAACAACTTTCCTTCTTTAAACAACTCTTCATCTCCTCAAACACATTTTTTCCCTCTCCACTTCACAGCTGGATGCGATAGTTAAGCAGTGTCGCTTTTGGACAGGGCATCCCATGACTGACATTTTCCGACCTACGCAGCCGCTGGATGGCAGGATTGTGTACTCCTCAAAGTCGGGTACAGCTCAGACAACTGCGACACATTTTTGGTGTCTGTTTTTATCATTTGTGACTGTTACGCTGGGTCTGGCACACTGAATGCGCAGCAAGAAATGGGCATAGTCTTCAAGTCTGAACAGCGAAGCCAACGCACAAAGTCTTAAATCTGCATTTTTTCTTATGGCCAGCAGGGAGTGACTTCTCAAAGTCTGATTGTATATATACAGTTCTGTGAAAAAGTATTTGCCCTTTATAACCCCTTCCTTGGGTTATAACTTCAGTAAACATTTTCTTGATGAATCTTAGTCACATGATAAAGCATGATGTATCGTTAGTAAGTAATGGTCCCTTTTTGAGTTCAGCAGAAGTACATAGAGCTAGATACACACAGCTCAGCCTTCCTCTGCAGATCAGAGGGTATGCAAAAATTAGAGATGCAAAGAAATGTTTTTATTAAAAATGCCACTGCTACCCTTAAAAGGGGCAGTTGTTTTGCATTAACTATTGGTAATGTATTCATACTTAATCATTTTTTAAGATGATCCATTTTTCCTGACAAATTACCATCAATTAAAGTTGATCACATCAGCAGCAATGCCCACATTTAGGTACATGACTGCCAGGCAGTGCCTCGTACAACCCTATTAGATAGTTTTCTCCTAGCACCACCATCAGCAGTGTCAAACTTATTTCCTTAGAGATTATTAAAGTGTTCTGATTCTGAAGATACTGGATTGTTTGTCCTTAAATCTGTACAGATTCACATATTGTACTGAGCAGAATGATAACAACAGCCTTTAGAGGAACTGGTCTCAGTCGCCAAACTAATTCGGTAGTGGTGTGAAAATGATCCAGGCAAGTTTTGACTAAAATGTGAGTGCACTCGGCTCCTGTAGCCTGATGTCCCAGCTATGGTGGAGCATGCAAAGAATGGCAGCTTCCACAGTAATACTAGTAAAACAGCTAACTGGGCGTGTTTCATAAATGCAAACATATATGTGCTATTTAAGAAGACCTTCTTCCTATATTTACTTTCTTCCTCCCCACCTTAGACATATCTGAGCTACATGAACGTTTTCTGGTGATTTGAAGGGATGCATGATGATTCTTTGGGATTTTTCTCTTTGTGGAAAGAAGTTGAAAGAAAGAAAAACAAACCGATCAACTGATTCAGACCAGACCAATTTAAAACGTTGAAACCATAAAGCAGCACCATCTTCATCTCAAACAGAAATTTGTATGATGATCAAATTTAATTAGCACATGCCGACTTCAGCTGAAGCCGCTAACATGGCAGTAGATTTGAATTTGAAAGTATTACTGACTTCAATTATGTCAGTATTTCTGACTTAGGAAACTGAAAACCAACATAGTGTGTGTGTGAGCTTTAGTACCCTGCAGCACTTGGGGCTTTAGGGGGGAGGTCAGTTTTTAATATTCATGTTTTACTGCTTTATATTAACGCTTATTTTCTCCTAGATGTTTTTGTGGACAAAAGTAATAAACCGATATTTAGAATTAGAGGTTTAACATATTTTTCTTCCTTTTTCAAAACATGAGATTCTTTAAATAATAACCTTTATTCTACTATTTTTGTCGTTGCTTTTCATGTATATATTTGTATCTTTGTTGTTTAGAGAGTTTAACAAAGCATTTGGTAATTAAGGCATCTCATAAATGTACCTGTGCATGTTTTAATTAAGATCTAAACTCCAGTAATCCTCCAGCAATCCAATGAGCAGTAGGTAGAGTGGTCGCCCCATGATAGGAAGGTCGGGGGTTCGAATACACTGAACAGCTACCCTGAGGTACCACTTAGCGAGGCACTCTCCCTACACACTGATCCCCGGTGCGCCTGCCCTCTGCTTCCCTGAGTGAATGGGTCAAATGCAGAGACAGTAATTTCCCCACGGGGATCAATGAAGTATACATTAATATTAATCCTCTGCCAGAGTAATAACTTGTTCTTGACTTCTTATGATGTGCAAAATCCAAAGCCAAAACTTCAATCAGTAAACTAACAGCTGACGTCAGTGGATTTATCTAAACCCTTACGGTGAGTGAGACTGATTTTATATTGAGTATTCACCAATTTGGATTTCTACAGATTCAATTAGATCAGTTTAAAATGAATGAAACTGACTGTTTTAAGCACCATGGAAATAAATCTGCCTTGCAGTTCATTCTGCCCCAGTTGTGTTTATCATAGCTGACTGTTGGTAACTTTGTTCCTATACAACAGGAAACCATGCTTGCATTACATGACTTCACTGGTTAACGGCCACACTGGAGCATTTAAATAAACAGGCACCTCAGAGTTTCTCTCAATTGTCAGCGCAGGTGTGAATCCTGCATAAACCTGCCATAAAGTAATGTTGGATCCACTTATGTGACATAAATAAATACACGTTCTTGTCTGTGCAGTAAAATAGGCTGTGTGTGTCTTTAGGATGGCTAGAGAGTAAAGTAAATCACATCAGATGTTTTTGTGGTGGAAATCAGACTTAATCAACCTGCCATGGCACTATTTATTTTCTTTTCAGGTATTTAAAACTGGTCAGTTTCCAGTTTGTACACAATCAATGACAAACATCACATGTTTGCACAGGATGGAAATGGCACTCCATATTAAAGAGAGAAGAATGAAATGTTTGGGAGGCAATGTGGTTCTCAAAATATAAAGATTTCACTTCAACCTCGCTCTGCAAATCTGATTCTAAAGGTTACACCGAGTGACACCGAGAGGTCACTGTGCGTGTTTCTTCAGCCAATTCCTCAGATGCTCCACCTGTGCAGCGACGCTACTCTTAGCTGTGCCTCCAGGGGTGCTGTACTGCTCCACACTGCTCCTGTAGTCCCACACTGAGGACACGTCACTTCCAAACAGAGGGCTGAAGGTACAGAGCAGACAAAGAAAAGAAAGAGGAGTTTAAAGTTATGGTATGAAAAACATGATAGAAATCAAAGGAAGAGAAAATGATTCATTTGGAAGGTTTTAGGCTTTTAGTTTAAAAGTCTGTGTGTGTGAGAAGAAGACAGCCACCTTATAGCAGTGAGATCTTCCACAGTGAGCTGATTCAGGACAATGTTTTTGGATTCAGCTGTAAACACAGCTTTGCCAGAGAGACCATGGGCCTCTCTGAATGGTACCTGCAACACACAATAACACACAGCTACACTGTAACACACAACATGCAGAAATGCAGGAAAGTATTTTGCAGTGAAAAATTAATGCGAATAAACTCATATAAAAAATAAAATAAAATAAAAGAATGACAAAACAGACCCTTGTTGACAGATTTATGTCTCCTTCCAGGATCAAACAGGGTAGCTTAAATAAGCTTAGATAAACCACTACCCAGAGACACTAGTTTACCCAAAACTAGTTACTAGGACTAATAAACTTGTATCCTAATAAAGGCTCTGAAGAGTGTTTGAATTCCTGTACAAACTGTAGACATCATTTGAAATCATTTCTTTGTAATTACTTCCTCGAATATTGTACACAACTAAACTACAAAACTGATACTCAGTAATTTGTTATGTTCTAAAAATATCTGCAAGACAAAATTGTAATTGAAATTTCAAAACAAAAAATAATATAGATTAATTTCATATCCTGAATATCTATAACATAATATAATAGTTAAAATATTATATTATGTAGATGTTAAGGGTATATGATCTACTCACCCCCTTCCTCACAAGGTAGTAGGCCAGATCAGTAGCCAGCATGTCAGGACTGAGAGCAGCTTCCATCACAGTCTGATTGATCTAAAACATAAGCAAAAATTAAAGGACGCCCTGAACCTTTGCAAGATTATTTGTACACTGAAAAAAAGACTGAAGAAAAACTGAAATTCCTCTTCTTGTTTGGAAAACTGTCTCAACTTCCAGCCTTGAGTTTATGGAGCCAGAACTTAAAACCCTACAAAATCTTTCTACGTTAATGTCGTTTGCTAGTCTCCACAGAGAATCAGCTCTGTCAAATCCTCAGCAGTGCGTGTAATAAAATGTTTAATGCTGCAAGATGACTGACAGTGATGCAATTCTCATAATCCACCTCTGCATACAAATACTGCGGCTCAAACTGCCACGATGTCACTGAACTGTGGAAATGATTCAGCTTTAAGTGAAGCATCTCATTAACCACACAGGAGTTACTGTTTCCATATTAACTTTTTAACATAGTCTTTATGGAAATCAATTACCATCTACAAACCAAGAAATGTATTCGGTTTATTTTTCAAAGGAAACAGCAGTGAACTGATTGTCTGACCTTCAGAGTTGACATGACTCCGGTGGTCACCTGCAGCACAGCCTGAACATTATCATAGCAGTCAAACATGGCCTCCTTATCCTCCTGAAGGGTGAGCACGGTGATAAAGAGAGCTGGATATTAGGAGAAACTTGACTTCCTTCCAAGTGAAACCACGTGAAGACAGACTTTCATACCTGTAGGTCCTTGTTGTACGTGCTCGGTAGGCTCTTCAGCGTCATCATGAAGCCCGCACACTGAAATACAAAAATCACAGGAAGAGTTTTGTGAGAAAACTGCAGCGAGTAAAGCAGTAAAGACTATGAGAGCACAGCACGTCTGAATGCTCATGAAAGGTGATACTGTTGTAGCTGCAAGGCAGACAACTACAATAAAACTATTATCACCCTCCACACTGAAGAGCCTCTGCCTCCTGTTCCCAGGTTTCATCACACAGAGCTGTGTTGATGATAAATTATGAAGGATCTATTGTATCACTATAATAAAATATTAAATTATTTATTAACATGTGTTTTTCTCCAGTTTGTCACTGTACTTTTATACTGAAACCAGCCAACTGTGATTCTAGTGATGGAAAACTAGTGACTGCTTTAGGACACACGAGGGCGCTGGTACTGCAGAGGAAAAACAAGCTGTTCTCCAGAGAGGAAAATCTACAGTTAGTTCCACTTTTAAACTTATGGACCCTTTTTTTAAGAAGTTAAAATATGAAAGCAAAGAATCAGCTATTTACAACAGGAAGAAACAGGATTTAGGGTCTACACTTGAACTAATGGAAGTGATCTCACACAGCACATTACAGCTATACCAAGATATGAAAAGAGTTATTGTAGCATCATTGGTGTTTCTATATTATACATTTTTTTTTAAGTTATCTGGCAAAATAAAATTGCAAGTGTGAGCTACTGACATGCGTAGAAAGACAGCATTAAAGCCAACCCTTCAGGCTTACCCTGCCAAAGGCACGACCTGCTTTACTCCTGATCAGCTCCAAACTGTCAGCATTTTTCTTCTGGGGCATCAGACTGCTGCCGGTGCTACACACAGACACACAAATATACATGAAGGGCAATGAAAATGCAGCATAAAATAGAGTAGGTCATAGCAGAGAGATCAGTGCTAAATGGACACAACTACAGAGAAAATAATGATTCAAACACAACTTTTCACTTTATTAACTTATAACACAGCTTCGTGACTGCAGCCTTTGCACTTTGGTTGCTGTAAATGTTGAATGATGAGATGTAGACTTTTAGGCTCTGGTTTATTATAGATTAAATACCAAGATTATGCTCACAGAAATCCAGTGAACTGTCAAACCTCTACAGCACAGGTGTCGAACTCCAGGCCTCGAGGACCGGTGTCCTGGAGGTTTTATATGTGCCCTTGATCCAACACAGCTGATTCAAATGGCTAAATGACCTCCTCAACATGTCTTGAAGTTCCTTTTCCTTTGCTTGCTGCAGCATTCCGATCTCTGTCTAACTGTGATTGGATGTATAGATTAGCATTATTGCAGTTTCTTTATTTGTTGTCGATTTAGATTGTTTAATTGAATTATTAGTTTTACACTGATTATTGATTTAATTTGCCTTGAAACTACCTGTAAAATAGGTAATAAGAAACTTTCATGAAGTAAATAAACTGCTGAACAGCTCTCCTCTTATGTGCCAGTAATTTTTTTCCAATATGTAAATCACAGATCTTTACATACATTGATTTTATATGAAAGCGGTGTTTCATGTAATATTGAAGTTCATGCACAATGTCACAAATCTTGCTAAAGAACTGCAAAATAAAAGCATAAACCGACCTGTAGGCATCAGAGAGCGTGATGAAGGAGAACTCTTTTGTGCTGTACAGTATCAGGTCCTCGGCCATCTTACTGAGATGGGTCAAACACAACGAAGCCCAGAACAAGAACTCAGCTAAATAAACAGACAAGTGAACATGAAAGGACTCAGAGTAGAGTTCATGTTTTTCACTGCTTGGATCCATTTTAGTCTGAAAGCTTCCTGGTGTGTACAGTTTACATACCAACAAAGTCTCTTTGGCCTGTGGCATCCATGCTGTTTAGACTGATGCTATCAAACCCCAGCTCTGCAGATCCAGAGGACAGCAAATGTTGTAATTTCTGCTCATTTTTGAATTCATATTTTATAAAAAAAAACAACAGTTAAATGACAGAGAAGACATTGGTAACAAAAAGCCAATTGGACTGACCTCTCTGCAGGAGCTCTCTGTCGATGTCGAATGGAGTCCCAGCGATGGCGCCACTGAAAACAACAGGATTCATTTTATCATATCTGTGAGACCAAAATGAAAGTCACACACGAGCGCGTTCAGGGCGTACCTGCCGAGAGGTAAAACGTTAACTCTTTTCTTGAGCTCCTGAAGCCGCTCCACATCTCTGCTGAGGGCAACAGCGTGGCTGGAGACAGAGATGCACGAGACTGACGTGAACATCACACTGTCTTATATGAAAGATGGGAAAAGTGCAAATATGTCAGTACAGGAAGATTACCTCAGAATCCAGTGGCTCCATCTGATTGGCTGTGCCCTCTGCATGTGGGTGTAACCAGGAAAAAGGACTTCAATTTCTCTGAGTTTCAGAAAAAGTGATGGAAAATATCATTTTTTAAAAACTGCAAGGTTACAGCAGAGCACATGTTTACGTATGCCAGCGTGTGTTTGTCTCACGCTGCCGCCCGCTCCACCATGGTAGTTATCAACTGAAGCGCGTTGTCCGTAAGGGTTGAGATTGCGCTTCGCAGCCACAACCTCATGTCAGTCACCACCTGATCAATCAAAACACACAGAGGGTAATATTTTAATCTTTTCTATTCTATAGTTAATAGTTTAGTTAACAGTTTAATTATTTATATAGCACATTTAATTACAACAGGAGCGTTGACCAAAGTGCTGTACAAGAATACAACATACATAATAAAACAACTTAGAGTATTAAAAGCAAACACCAAATATGAATTAACAAATAACTCATGCTGTAATTAAAAATGCGTTTTAAGATAAGATTTAAAAAGATTGACAGTATGAGCCTGTCTGATGTATAGGGGTAAATTATTCCGCAGCTTAGGCGCTATGACTGCAAATGCTCGATCACCTCTATGAACCAGCCTCGACCTATTCTGTAACAGTTAAATCATTACAGTTTTAATATCACAAACACAGACCTGGTCATTCCTGCTCCTGCCTGTGTGCAGCTTCCCTGCAGGTGCACCAATCAGCTCCTGAGAAAACATGTAGCCACACGACTATGACATCTGTCACCACAGTGATCACCAAGCCCTCAACGGAGGAGGAGATCAGTGTTTTATAGCCCAAAACTGAAACAATAAAACACTCAAATTACATTTTATCGTTGGCAGTTTTTTTCCTCTATATCCTCCACACATCAGGTTAAGACCAAAGCGATTTTACAGAATCTTATTCTCAACAAATAGAAATCGCAACAGCCATCAGGAGCGATAAATAGTATCCGAACCCAATATATGTGTATACATTTTTTTAATTGTTTTCAGCAGCGGTAGCACACGCATTTAGTGTTCTACTAAAATCAACAGTAGAGCTTATAAATGTAATTTTCATTGTTTTCTGGAAAATACTGATGTGGAATAAGCTCTATCAAGCTTCTGCTGCACCATGCAGCACTTTTTGGTAGGATCAATTCAACAATTAGAACACTGTGCAAAACATAACCTGTATATTTTTTAAAAAAATACTTCTCTACTTCCACTATGCTCCATTTCCCTTTCTTCTTTCTCCTCTAACCCCAACCAGTCACCTCATATGGCTGTGCCTCCCTGAGTCTGGTCCTGTTGGAGGTCTCTGCCACTGTCACCAAGCACTACCTCATAAGTCGAACTCTGTTCACTGCACTTTTCTTTTTAATGTTGTAAGGTCTTTGCCTTATGATATAAAGCATATTGAACTGAGTGTTGCCATGAAAACGAAAGGAAAAAGAAATTCTACAAGCCATAACTCACCTTTAGTCTGCGCTCATTGGCAGTATGAATATCTTCATCTCCGGGTTTGATGACAAAAACACCTCTAGACCACTCATCAGAAATCTGCAGAAACAAATAGGGACTAATTTAAAATATAATCTGTAAATAAAATATATTAATACATAGGAAGTTTTCAGTAACTGTGCATGAGTATAGCAAATGTCAGTCCTGGTTACATAATGACAATCGCACCAATAAAGCAGAACCTCAGGACAGAGAGGGCACCCTAAAAAATAAGCTGCATGAAAGAAGAACTAAGGCTGTTTAGCAGCTGACAGATGTCACATGATGACACCATTGTGCAGCTCACACTCAGTAGAGGAATCCTGCACCATGGCACATTTTCAGCTGTCATCTATTAACCAGCCAAAGGGAAGGCAGTGATACACATAACCATGCAAGTGATTTTCTGCTACTGCCAGCCTGTGGTTGCCCCTGAACTATCTTTCTTAGTTGCAGTTTATGTTGTGACTTCACCTGAGCCATCCCGTGTGAGATCTGCTCCATTTCGTCCGTGCTGACAAGCTTTGCCCTCTCCAGAGCTTTAACATAAGCCTTGCTCCCACGGATGTCTGCATCCCACATCCTCTGGTCATAAGCGATTGAGGCATTGAACTTCTCCATAATAGGATCGGTGTCTCCAACAAATCGACCTCCCCAGAGTTTACTTCCCTGAGAAGGAAAAGGGTAACATGAAAAAAGTAAAGAAAAATTCAAATAGGTCAAAACATGAACTTTACAAGGTAAAACTCCATGGCTTTGGTTAGTTTATTGTTAGCTAATGTGCCCTCAATGGAGAAGAGACCCCAGTTTGACAGCTTGCTTTTGTTGTTAAGTGTCCAGCTGGGTGTTAAAACAACAAACGCGCCAATGGCCGTACGTCGTTTGCACGCTTACCTCTGTACTGGCCATGTTTAACTGACGGTAGGCGTCTGTAGCGATGTAATGTAGGTGCTGTAGCTTAGCTGAATTAACGCTAAAACACTCGGACGTCTGGCGAGAACGAGGCTGCTGCCACTGAAGCGGTTGGTGTCGCTTTAAAAAACGTCAGAGGAGACGTCCCGGCGTCTTGCTACGTTTAGGGCTCCGTTGCAACGTAACAGGTGTGCAGTCAGCAGAGTTGACGTCGTCCGTCAGGAAACGTCTTTTTTTATTATTATTATTATTATTATTAAAATGTTGTACTCTTGATTTCAAACATGGTATCTTGAAAATTGTCTATAATATATATATTTATAAAATCCTAAATGTTGATGACAATTTTTTACTTTTTACAACAGAGAGTATATCTTATGCTTTTCATGGTTGAAAATTTAACTGGTTGGAAAGACCAGTTAAATATTTTGCTAAACTAAACCCACAATACCACTGAAAAATACTGCAATTTTTAACGTAAAGAAAACTATTTATGCACTTACAATTGTTAGGATATTTTCATTTCCATAATAAGATTAGAAAGGAGTACAACAGAGGAAAAGCTCAGGTCGAGTGGTTTGGAGACAACCTCTAGATCTGAGTTAGAGGGAGAAGGCTGAGAGAAGGATGAGATGGTTTGGATACAAAGGATGTTGAATATGAAGTAGGAGGTAAAGATGTGGGACCACAGAGAAGATTTGTGGATGCAGTGAAGTAGGACGTCCAAAAGTTTGGTGTGACAGAAAAGGTAGCTAGGGATAAGATAGAATGTATTTGTGTAAGTCTTCAGTAAGACTAAAAAAGAGCTATACAATAGTGATACGCGAATCATGAACGAATCGTTCAGTACTCGAGAATCACTTTACTGACTCATGAATCATGATTCACAAGCCCAACTGACTCACTGACTCATCCCTGTTGCTGTTAGCAGCAAT